ATGAGCAAGGCTGGTCCATGGCCTTTCAAGGGCCCTTGGCCCATCGTTGAGGCAGATGAAAGACGTGTTGTTTTTTTTTCGCTTTTGGTCACTACTTATTTGGACCATTTGCATCCAGCCCAATTCACTCCAGCCTTGCTCGCGCGGCCCCGGCACGGCACGCTTGAGCGCCCCTCCATCGCATCCAATTTCGGCGCCCGCGCTCGCGTCGAGCTCCATGCCGAGCCGGGAACCCTAAGAGCAGCCAGGTGAGTGACAATCGTATTGGTAGTTGTTGCCAGGTACACAGAGCAGAACTGCTTAATGACCCCGAAAGGAAACCAAGAGGGCTATATTATATATATACGTTGAAACTATCTAGTATATATCCAGGCCCTCCTCGCCCAAACTTCCCGTGAACCAGGGGGCCCGCGCCCCGTACTTGTGCGCGGCCGCTCTCTCGACAATTCCCCGTGTGCTTTTGCGAAGCATTTGGGTTTGTCTCGCGGGCCCCAAGAAAGGGGCGGTTTCCTTTTCGTTTCCCTAAACCAAAAAGCTGGGGGGTACCCTCAACAAAAGACAGACCCATTTGTACATTTTGTCCGCTCATATTTTCTTGGGCCTTTCCTTATTTCAGGTTCCCAGAGGTCAAAGGCAGTGGGTCACCTCTCGGCTGGTGAGAGGATAACGTCCATTTTCGTGAGCTCAGCCTTTTCAAGTACAAGGCCGCAGTTCCAGCCATAAATAGCTGAGATCCACCCTTTATCTGACTGTACACCCCTGTGCTATGGGTTCTGTTTCGTTTGTGGGTGTTTTCCAAAGTTGGTCCTGGACGAAGAGTCAGAATTGATGGCTTCCTTCTGGTTCCTTGTCCAAAACGGGGATCCATAATGTTACTGACCCAAGTCTCCCTTCTCGTGTTCGTTGGCTTCGGAGGCTGATGGCCATGAGCGAGTCAGATACTCATAGTCACGTTTCTCGATCAAGCGGGTGTGCCTTTTGAGGGTACCCTCCAAAAAGAAACCAGTCTTCAAGCTACCTTTGGCTACCCAAGCTTGTCCAACCGCATGTAGCTCAGCCATTTTGAGGCCTTTTGTATCAGCTAACAAATGCCACCAAGGGGGGGCCACCGAGAATCGTGTTTGATGCGCAGTCATTTGGCATGTTTTGGCCTGGTTCAAAAGAAAGTACTTGACGGATAACTCCTTCTGAAAGGCCCGTGGCTGAGGAGACAACGTGCAGATGTTTGACAGCAAGGCTGCCTGGGATATGTAAGGTGGGAGCGGAGATACAGAAATGTATTGTCAACGCTTGCTGCCAGAAATGACACCTATTTGATGCATATTGTGAACCCACGCTGCCATGAGGTTTCTTAGGATTATCTACAAGGCAGCTAATTGTTGCATGTGGTCAATCCTGGTCGATTTGATAATTTGCCTGCAACACACCTATCGGACTACCCAATTTCTCGCTGCCCTGCCACATGCCGTTCGGGGGTTTTGGTGGGTCTTCAAACACCAACAATTGTGGTTTTCTCTTTGGCTCCCCTGTAAACCAACCCAAGAAATGGTACCCTCAAAAAAAGACAGGCTCAGCTGCTTTGTAAAAGGACGATGGCTGAAAAGAATGGGGCAGCAACATGGAAACTTGGGGCAACACAGATGTTTCATCTCGACCAGCGCTTCGCGTCACTTGCAGCTGACGCTCGATTCTTGTTCGCCCTTATTTGAGGCGGTTGGCTCTGGAAGTTTGGTGCAGGGCAGTGCATGAGATGTGCTTTGTTGTGCCATGTTGTGCCCTTTGGCACTGAGGTACTTCTGGTTTTCCGGGGAGTTTGTCCTGTTTTTTTCTGATTCAGCATCATAAATCATGCCGAAAATGCAAGGTCAGAAGCTTTTTGCCTGCTGGAGATTTATCAGGCTGAGCTCCCCAAAGAGCATGACCCATTTATCCATCAGGTGCCCCGTTTGGAGCAACTGGTGGTGCGTACATTTTTGACACATCCTCTGCGGTTTAGCTTTTCCTGGGTTTTATAAAGATCATAAAGAGGAGCTCCTGGTTTGCCAGGTTTTGATTGGGACACCCTCAACCCATATGGGTGTGGGTCAAAATTAAGCCACCAGGGGTGCAGGTTTTAGTCTTTGTTTCCATTTGCCAGGGTTCCATTCTGGGCACCTATTGTTGACCCACACCCATATGGACTAGAACCAAATGTGTCTGGACTACTCCTCGGCTCATGCGGAGGAGCGAGCGTGGAGTTCCAAGCGGGAGGCGTGATGAAGTGGCCGGGGGTCTATCATTTTTTGGAGTTGGTACCCCTTTTTGTGGTGTTTGAAGGGAAACTAAAAGGAACCCCGATGCGCAATGTTGGGGGGTCCGGTAAAAAGGACACTCATTCGGAACCTTGGCCTGAAGAGGTCCAACAACTCCCCCACGACCTGTGTCCTTTTGTGGGGCTCGGTACCCCTGTAAAAGGGGAAGGTTTAGGGCAACAGGAAAATAAGGATTCTTCTTTAGTTGGGATTCCTGAAAGATTCGGACCGACCCTGCACAGGACCGTGAGCTAGAATGACACTCCTTGACTCACGAATCGTGGTGCATTCCAAGACACACCATGTGCCCTTTAATACAGGCGTTCAGCACTTCCCTTGTTCAACTGCTCCCCACTAATTGTGATTCAACTTTGTAGCGGAATAGAAATGACCTGTCCAATCTCAGCAAGAAAACTCTCAAGCCTGAAACCTGAAAAAGACATGCAGTCGGCACATCTTTCTCCCTAAAACCCCTATTCATAAATATGGTTTCCCAACAAATATTCATCAATAGGGGTGCAGGATTTGACCTGTAGGGGGAAGGAATTAAACCACGTCCCTGAGGTTCCCCTCAGGGGCCAGCTTCCAACAACTAATTTCCCCAACCCAAACAAAACCACGTCCGCCACGACAGCGCCCTTCGCCTGGTTGTTTGGCTCAGGGCGAGGAGCGCTCCTGGCTGGACCCCGCTTGGCTCGAGGAGGGGCTGGGTTTCTTGTTTCGGAGGTGGGCTCGTTTTTCCATGGGAAAATATATGAAGACTTAGACGGGGACAAACACACAAATCGCAACCCTTTGCTGGAATTTGCAATTCCAGGGTAGCTGCCCCGTTTTCAGGGTCTGATAACCAGAAGCGAGGGGAAACAGCTGGTTTCGAAAACGATGGCTGAAAAGCAACGAGTTTTCAAGATGCTAGTCTTCCTAAACCCTATTCACTTCCATGATTGGCAAAAAGAGAGTAGCTGTAAGTATCCCCTGGAACGTTTAGACACTTCTAGAACTTCTAGAATTGGAGTGGAGATGCAGCGCCAACCATGCTGACATGTACCAAAGGTCTCAAAGTGTCTAACTTGGAGATAGATTTGTTCTTAAAGCTCCTGCTGGCACCAACTTGCTGGTGGCTTTGCCAGAAGATGAACACCACCCAATAGCCTGCCGTTTTTAAGGTGTCTGAGATCCCTGAATTTGTTCGACTCAAGTAGGGGAGTGGGGAACTTTGCCGTCGGGGTGACGGACTGCTCTGTTGTGTTGTTCGCTTCCTTGTACCTGAAACAGCGCGGCCTCTCTGCTGCGTTATTGCTGGGCAGCTGGGCCAGGGTTTTGTTGTCTCTTATCTTTGGTTATCTGCAGGTTTCCAGAGAGGCAGCAGTCAAAGCATGCTGCTGGTTGACAAGCAAGAGGACTGAATTTTTGAAAGCCCATGCTCGTCACAAAAGTAAGCATCCAATCGTCAGCGCTGTTCAGGATGACTCCCAGCTGCCGTACTGGACAGATGCGGATGAGATGCCGAACCACGTGGACCGGGAAGCGCCGCTTTTCATTTGATCCGGGTCCTGGGTCCCCGATGCTTGGGTCTGACCCTTGGCTCCCTCTTCCCATCACTTCGCCTTAAGGCTCGATCCAAACGGAAGCCAACAGGAGATACGGGTACGTATCACAACATACAGGGGGGACCCCAAATCTGGTGGCTTTCCGAAAAGGACAATTACCCTCACACAAACACCCGTTTCCCGGGCCGGATTTCACATGGGTGCGTCAGTTTCAGAGTCGGTATCCCTTTCTTGGGTTTTTTGGGGAAACCAAAAGGAGAAACACTTTGGGAGGGTCCAACTTCAAAGACAGCCACGTTTCTTGGAGCCGCAGGATACCATCTTGCAATTTCATACCACGCCCTGTGCCGACTTCCAGAGGGGCTTCTGTGCGAAGCACGGCGCGCGAGGGAAGGCTGGGACCTCCATGTTCTCAGGGAATGAGGGAACCCCCATAAACTATCCCTTGTGGTTTTCCTTTAGCCCAACATCCTGGGTCGTTCCGGAGCCTGGGCTTGTTGGTTTCTGCCTAGTTTTTGTTTGGGGCTTCCCTCGATCAACTCGATTGCAAGGTGGTCTTTGTTTTCCCGCCATGGCGCCGGGTCCCGATCATCAATGCAGCCGGCTCGCTAGTTTGGTTTTGCACGGAAGCAAGGGATGTCCATGCCATGAAAGCCATCGAGCTTGAATCTGAAAGGTGAAAGCATGAGTCTCCACGTCCACCACCTGGTAAGGCTAGAAAGCGGAATGATCCCAAATCGGTTGCCTGCTCACCAGTCCTTGCAACGCCCGTTCTTGGTGTCACCCCACAATAGCCACCCAGCTACGACGCAGGAAGTAGCAGCTGTAAACAGCTTCTTTCCCACCCCTACTTGCCGCTTGTGCGCACCTGTTCAAGGCGAGCCAATGTCGCAGCTACCACTTTGAGCTTCTTGGCAGCATTGGTTTTAATTGTGTGTCTTGACAGTGTGTAATTGCACTGGAATAATAGAATAATTATGTCTCACGCTGGCATGTCAGGCAAGGTGTTGGCTACTTGCAATCAAGGCTTGTTTCTCTCAGCATCGAGTCCACTTCCTGGGGTTATCTGCTGTAGTTTGTTTGACCACATGTGCATGCGGTATACACTCCAACGAATCAATGGCTTTGACCGCTGCTGCAGGTACATTCATTTAATAATAAACAAATAAAATAAAAATAATATAAGAAACCTATTTTTCGCGACGACCGTAGGAACGGACATGGTGCCATTTTTCGCATGACAGAACATGGCATCATCATGTCATAGATTCGGATCATGTAAAAAAAAATCAGCAACAGGAAACCCAAAGGACGATAAACGGCTCAGGCATCTTGGCAAGCTGCATATTTAGAGCTGTGTACATTCGCGCCTATGACCTACGCTTTCCACAGTCTTGGCACAGCTCTAGACGCGACTGCTCAGTCAGTTCAAGAACTCTCTCAGCCCCATTCCAATTGAGGTTGTCCTCCCAGTTGCGAAGTGCCGGGGTCTGTCTATCTTTGAGGGCGCCCTTTTCGTGGTTGTTTTGAAAGGAAACAAAGGCGAAGTCCGCAAATTTGGTGGATTGCCCCATTTGAGGGCCCTCTCAATTCAACGGAAGTTCCTCCAGTTGTGGTTGGAGGGTTTGGTGTGGCACGTTGCAGAAGAGCTGAGAGCATGTGCGCCACACCAACGCCATCAATGCCCATTTGAAGCAGTATTTATTGCAGCTAAAGGGGTAATTGCACAGCAACTGTAAATGTTGTACGTCAAAAAAGGTCCTGTCAGATCGGAATATCTATTCATCTTCCACACAGGAAAAATGAAGCTTCATGATTTGCAGGTTATCGATTCTTGCTGTTTTTTTTGTAGCGCGAACTTTTCAAAAGGCCTTTCGGTCATTGAACTTTTTAGTTGAGTTGGTTTGAAGTAGATGGGTTCCGCCTTGGCTACCCAATCATTTCCCAGCAAAAACATAAACTTGTATGTAGTATATTTGTGTTCAAAAAAACCGAACGCCCCTAAAACCTGTGGTATCCTGTGGTCCTTTTGAATTTCCTTCACCGGTCGAACCTGGAAGCACGGAGTCGGGACGTGGCAAGCGCCAAGCAAGCAAGCGCCCGAGTTCGCAGCGCCGGCGTCGGCCGGTGGACGTGGCGACACAGCGGCTGCCGGGGGCTCAGTAAAATCCAGTGCCAACCTTTCTCCAGATTTCCGTTTTTGTTTTGTTTGTGTATTTGTTTGTTTGTTTGTTTGTTTGTTTGTTTGTTTGTTTGTTTGTTTGTTTGTTTGGTGGGTTTGCCACCAGAAAAGGTCAACCAGGGTTCCTTTGAAGTAGAAAAGTCACTGGTTGTAGCTGGGGTACAGGCATTGATTTGTGGGCTTTGTCCAGAAAGGGGGAAGCCTCTTTCTTTGGTGGTTTCCCTTTCACATGCCAAGCCAGGCAGGGAAAATACCCGTCTATGGGTGAGTCAGGATGCATGTTACCTTTCGTTTCCCTGAATATACAGAAACCAGCATCATGTAACATGTATGAATTTACGCAACATAACTATCAAATGACCTATCTCCCATCACGAGACTTCTGTGGGGTTGGTATGAACGGACGGTACGACGGTATGAAGCTGGCGTTGTTGGCTTGCCAGTGGAATTCCTGTTTCTAATTCGACATGAAGCTGGTGCCAATATGGGTATTGGAGTTGCTCTTATGTGGACGTTACTGGATGCAAAGAGGGTGTTCATTCACGGCTTGTTTTTTCTAGTTTTCCTTTTTCAGAGATCTTGAATAGACTGGCACCCATCCCAATTACCAACTGCCTGCCTTTGGTCAGGGCTCTCCAATATTCCGCCTTTGCTTGTTTATGAGTTTCCTCTACATGTGTTGTCTAATCAATATATCGATGCATGTACATGCGATACCTTGTTCTTGTTATGATATGTGCAATCGATGTGGCATTGCCTAACGCATGTCATCCTTCAAAATTGGTTTGTCCACGGTAATGCACGCTTTTGTGTTTTATGCAACAACGGGGGGCTGATATATTTATTCGCATGATATTCAGGGAGATGCTTGACCCAAAAGTGAGCAGTCCCGATCCGATTGAAAAGGACCCACGCCCGTTCAACCAGCTTATGATATCGAGCTTCCCATTTCTGCGCTAGGCGACCCACCACAACGCGAGGCATTAGGGTCCCCCTGCACAGAAAGGTTGTCAGAGCCCTAAGAACCCGTTCTAAGAACGCCTAAGAAAGCTTTGAGAACCTTTCCTGGTGGGTTGGTTTACTCCCTACAATTGTACCTTGTCTCCCATCTTGAACCCTGAACACCTGGCCGGAGGACTTACTGGGAGACGCCGTGCCCATCCTGGAGTCTTGACATGGGCTTCTGCCGGGATTCTCAAATGGCAGTATGAGGCAGCCGTCTGGCTATGCTCCTCACGGCCAATCTGGGGATTTGTCGATGTGACCATGGCATGGACTCTTCCAAATGTACTTTCATGTTGGCTGAACACACACACACACATAGAGACACGCACAGACACGCACACACAAACACACACACACACACCCACAGGCACATTGGCAGACACACACACACAGACACACAGACCAGAAGAGACCAGAAAGACAGGCAGAGAAGCAGTAGACGCCCTTGGGCCGAGGTGTGCACCACGGGTATCCAAATTGTGAGCTGGGTATACGCTGAGAGGCCCTGTTGCATGGTTTGAATCATTCGGAGATCTTGCCAACAACTTTGCCTTTTCGCCCCAGGGGATATCATGAGACTTTTTGGGGGCCCTTTACTTTACTTCAGATTGGCTGTACTGCTTTGTGCCCCTTGGCTCAGGTTTGTGGATGCTTGACATGTGAACTTATCGCTGAACATCACGCTCACGGGTATCGAGAACAGAGTTCAGACAACTCTTGAACAACATGACTCCCAGAAATCAGCATTGGAGATGGGTCTGAAGAGCCCGGCCGACAGATTTGTCATTCAAGTTCAGAGGTTTCAGGGCAGGAAGCTCATGCGGTGAGGCGACCTGGATCAGCAAAACAAATTTCGGCCATGAGGATGGTTTTGGAAAGAGCGAGTCCCGTGTGGGTGTGCAGCTGATCAGACCATAGCCGGCCTGAGCGACCTAAATTTCATGGACTTGTGGGCATTTGGGGGTCTCATCCGAGGAGCCGGCTAATCGCTTAGAAGAAGCCCTCAAGCGTCCCTTCTGGGACTAAGGAGCCACGACCCCTTCCCCGCGCAGGGCCCTGGGGTTCCCAAATGATTTGCCAGCGGGAGGCGGCAAATTGCGCCGAGGTTGCCTGGCAGGAGATGCATGCTCTTTGGCCCACGGACGTGAAGAGGCGCGAGAGCAAGTGTTGGCTTTGTTTTGTGCTGGGGGGCGTGCAAACGCGCTGTGCGTCCGTACGTGCGTGGGTGCGCGCGTGCGTTCGTGGGTGGGGTGGGTGATGTGTGTGTGTGTGTGTGTGTTTCAAAGCAAGGCCATGCCAATGAAGCCTCCAGTGTGATCACACGGCGTGGCTGCCATGTGCGTCACTTTGAGCAGCAACATCAGCGACAGTAGCAGGACATGATCGATGAACCACATAGTCCAAGGCAAGGGCCAGCTGTAATCAGATGACATGAAAAGGAGGAGGAGGAGGGTTGTTGTGACCAGTTTTTTGCCCATTTGTTGACTGCTTTGTTAGCAAGTTCAGCCATCTATCCACGTCTGAAGTGGCCAGGCATTGTTTAGATAGTGGTCAAGTTCTGCTTTTCAAGAGATCAAAGCTGTTCAGCTTAGACGAGCGAATGGCAATATTGGCCAGGTGTCGTACCACCCTGCAAAGTATAAGACCCGGCCCTGCAATGGTGCAAGCCTTAGGCCAGTGCTTTTGGAGCACAGCTCCAAGACTGAGAGGAGGGAAAGCTGAGGGAAGTGGGGGAGAAAGAAGGCAAGAGGCCTGCCCTTTCTCAACGCACTGAATGCTATAAGTCTATAAGCCATAAGTTTTGTTCTGTTTGTTTGATCTCCAAAGATCAGTTTTCCTGTTGATGGGTATGTATCATGAACTTTTCCGGGAGCCCAGGTTCGGGCACGCATATCCATAGGTACATATATGTTAAGGTTTCATAGATGCAATCCACAGAACACATTTCGCTCCCTGTGCATCCCCAGCATTCAGACATGTGCTTTCAGGCAAGGCGTTTAAACGCTCTAGCCCGATTTGGCTCTCATGTTGGGTTTCAATCCAGTAGCCTCGAAGGAGGACTTCCGAGGCCTCCCACCACTGGGTGGATTCAGAACCATCCCGAAAAAGGCTTGAAGCGCCTTGCGCACAAGCGGTTTGTATGTAGCCGGGTGTGGACGACACGCTTCGGTTCTTTCCTCCCGAGCGCAGGCAACTATCACACCGGAAGGGCCTATAACATTGCCATGGACTTTTTTCCTCAGGGGGGCGAGTTCCAGTTGGGCATCTTCCTTTGTTCCCCACATCGTTGTGCTCAAGCATTCTCCAACATTGAGTCCGTCGGATGTCCGTCGGAACATCAAGTGAGTGGCGCGTTTATATATGGGTGTGTCTTTTTTGAGGGTACCCCATGTTTGACGATGTTGAAGGAAACCAAAAAGACACCCACCTTTGTTTGGGAGGGGGAGTTCAGCCTTAAAAAGACAGATCCATATGTAGTTAATTAATACACTTTATTCCGGTACTGGCCCCACCCGGAATAGCACCCCTGAGACGTTTGCACTGTCCAGATATACCCTTGATATTCGGCCGATCGCTTGCGAACGTTTGAGTCACAGGTGCTCAATGGGGTTTGGGTGAACGTACATGGGCGGTTTCAGTTTGGTTCTACTGTTCTACTCCTTTACCAGTGGACTCCTGGCGAGCACAAGGGTGAGGGAGCTGTGGGGTTGCCCAAGGCACGGATTGCCGTGGTGAAGGTGCCTGCTGCTTCGCACACAGCCAGAATGAGCTGAGGCGACTGGTCGCTTCCGATCTTGGACCGTGCTGCCCTTTGGCTTCCCTAAGCAAAGACTCTCGCAGATTCCGCTCCAATATACTCCGATTCCCAATCCGTGCTTGCTGATATACTATATACTAACTTTTATAGGTAACAGAAACAACATAGGCTTGTGGGAGTCGCGGCTCTTGCGCGCTGTTCTGTAGGAGATTGTTCCGACACTTGACGCGAGAAGGTAGCGCGAAAACAACTTGTTCGACAAAACCGGGGGTACGCCTTTTGTGAGTTGGTTTGCAACCTTGCCAGGAGACACGATGTCACCCTTGGCAGTGGTGCTAGCATTTGTCAGCAAGAGCCATGCACGTTGATGGGTGCTCACCTTGGGTTTTGTGTGGTTGCTTGACAGTTGCTGCGCTTCTGTTTCGATGTCGCGAAGCTCCTGTGAAAGCTAGCTTTGTAGTGTGGTGGTCTAATCTGGAAGCGCGCTGCAAGAGTTTACATCACGTTAACTCATGTCTAGGTTTTACTGGAAACATCCGCAAAAAAACCGGCCAGGGGATACTTTGGTCCCCTTTTCACGAACGGAGAACTGAGGGGCGCAAAAAGGACTGCGAAAAGGGCTCGCGAAGGCCGACCATGAATACAATGGCGCCTAGTTTTCGAGCTCCCCTTTCAGATCGGTGTGTCCGGGATGCAGGCAGCACGCGCCGGGGAGATACTCCTACTTTGTGATTATGCTGGGGAGCCTCAGTTGCAAACTGTTCGCCTGGGCCATGTTTCACCTAGCCTTTTCTAGTTGAAGTTTTGTTCTTCAATATGAGCTGCTAGACTTCACTCACTGTTCCATGATGTTCCATCTGGGTCTGTCTCAAAGTAAGGTACCCCTTTTTGGATGTGTCTTAAAGGGACACCAAAAGGAAACCACCTACCTGGAGCGGCCCGCAATTTGAAGTCATACCCGTGCTACTCTGAATGTCATAAAACAGCCACGCCCACTCCTTTTGTTTTAGAGTCAGGGAAGTGAGCACATGGTAGGAACTCGCCTCATGTTTTCAGGGTGAGAAGTTTGGTTGCGCATTGTGATGTTGAATAGCAACAGCAGTATCCATCATCTGCCCCACAAATCAATCAAAGCAAACACCTTGGTATTGGGAGGGGGTCTTAGAAAAAAATATATATATATATATACATATATATATATATACATATATATGTATGTATGTATATATATATATATCTGTATATGTGGTACCCCTCCCTCCCCGGGCACCCCTCTTCAACAAAAAAGCTAAACAACAGGAGAAGAAAAGCAACAAGTGGAGGAAGCAAGAGAGTCTTCTGGAAGAGGAACAATCAAGGTCTTCTGGAAGAAGGGCCCCAAACCAGAAACACCACAAACGCCACAAAACTAGGGTCCTCATGAAGAAGGGCCACAAACCACACAAACCACAAAAAGCAAAAACCACAGAAGGCCCCCAAACCAGAAAACCAGAAAATAAGCAAATACCAGGGTCCTCCAGAAGAAGGGTAGCTACCTCAATTAGTTTCTGCCCCTTAAAAGGAGTGAACATCCAAAGGAAATCCAGGGAACATGCGATTTTAGTGCTATTGCCTTACAAATTCCAAACTGCAAGGCTTTGAGCTAAGCAGGACGTTCATTGGAATTCAATTGGACATAGTTTTCCAAAGTAGATTCTGAATAGGATTTCCTTTCCAAATAGGAATAGCAATATGTTTTAACTACAACATAAATACCATCTAGTAAGGACAGACAAGATGAGTGGAGAAACCTGCAACTTCAGCCTGTTGGTTTGCAAGTTTTTAACTACAAGGATTCAAGTTCAGAAGGTCTTTCATTCGAACGTTTACAAGTAGGAGTTCTAGTTGGCAGTTAAACAGCATCTAGTGAGGAAAGACAAGCTAGTTGTGTCTTCTAATTTGCCTGCCCCAAAACACATCAAGGAGAACGCAATCTCCTGGCAAGGTTTGAAATTGCAAGGCTTTAAGTTTAAGTCGTGCGTTCATCATTACGGTTCAGGAAGGTTTCTAATATAATTTACATGGAATTCTTTTGTTGAGCATGTATTTAGAAAGATATTTTAGATAGGAATTCCTTTCCATTTTAGTCATAAATCAAATGGAACCTAGCGAGGAAAGACAAGCTGGTCGTTTCTTCTAAAATGGGAACTCATGTCTGGCCTTTCTTAAGGACATATTGACCACTATGTCACTGGCCTTTGAAGGATCTGCTCTGCATCTTCAGAGTGGGTCCTGAGAGGGGTCCCGAAAAAAGGGGGGGGTTATCATACACATATATATATATCGCATGTATTTATATACATACACAAAGCATGTATTTGTGTGTGTGTGTGTCTGATTTTGCGACGCTGGAGGCCGCCACGAATTTACCTTGTGTCGGATCTTATGCAATTTCTTCGGCACAGCCCATCCGATGAATTTCTTCGGCTCAGACGCGAAACGTGTGGAATTGCGCTGCAAATTATCTTGTCAGAAGGGCAAGACACTCCTGGCCCCCCCGCCCCCATACGGCCGTTTTTTGGTTGTGCACCTTTTGAAACAAATGGGTTCTTTGAAACGCGTAAAACAAACAGCACCACATGTTTTCAGAAACATACGGGTTTCAACATACGCGTCGTCTGCACCAAACAAACATGGTCATTCGGGCATGGCCAACTGCGGGGGTTTGACGAACA